ATAGCACAATAGATAATTAACTAACACCAATAAGGGGTGATAATACCAACATGCCCAAGAAATAACACGTAGAAAGTCATTATCTCCTATACTCCGTACCGGAGATAATTTGCAGTTTGTGGAATGGCATGTGGTATGATTTGCAGAATGGTATAATTATGCGGAATGTAATTCATGCAAAAAGTTTCAAAGAAATTTTTAAAAAAGTGAGTTGAAATGGCAGGCGTTGTTTTTGGCCCCAATCTTAAAGTCTACAATGGCTGTTTTTTTAAAGCAATTTCAAGCGCTTAGCTTCAAACAGGTAAAGTTTTTACAGAAAGAAATGAACAAATTTCTGGTTTTCAAACTAATCGGGGATTGAAGCTACAGCTGTAGCGGGCACAGCATCAATTGCCGATAGCCTCAAAGTACACTTTTACACCACTACCTTCTTACGAGAAGTCACTACTTTCTTTATATCAATTTATTCTTAAGAAGAATCGTTTTAACCTTTGCTTAGTTCGTATCTCTTAGGAGCTCAGTTTTCCGAGTACTTGTTCCTTGTTTTAATTTAAATTACTGATTATTAACAATTGACGTCAAAGGGAACAAGAGGCTATAACGGCACCTTTTTTATTCGTGTGTTTGCCGCTAACACTTAGTATTATTTTTTAATTGCTGTTCTTGTTTGTCGCTGTTGATGTTGTTGTTTTTTTTCCCGAGAATTTCCTTACCTCGACCAGTTTTCCTGAGCATTGAAGTGCCAGGGGCACCCAACGTCAATTTTTGCAAAATATCTGTTCGGAAGACGATTAGAGATCTAGAATTTTCGGAACATTTGTTGTAAAATTTCTTGCTTGCCTGCCTCTCCTATGATTTTTGAACATATAAAAAATGGTATCATTGCCCATTTTTAACGGATTTTTGCCCTAAAAAGGTCACCTAGAACTTTCGGGAGCCTTTTTTTCTGACTGAAATTTTCGAAAAGTTAAGTTTTGATCCTGTAGTTTTCGGATCACTAGACTTTCAGCTAGGAAATCCGAACAGATGAAAAATTTTTAGGGGATCAGGAAAATATGCCCATGTCTACCATTTAAATACTAAAATACGTTTAACAATGCTATGTTTAAGTGGTTTTGAACTTTACTCTCCTTGGGTGCCCCTGAAGTGCACTAATATATGTGTCGATTTAGTATGATTGTCAACTTTAGATTTTTTACGAGAATAACAACCTTTCATCTGCAGACGTTGACAGCGATTCATTTGAAGTCGACATCTTAAGATGGCTGCATAGGAACTTTCTGTCTCAGATGTTTTCGTACACAATTTAAAAATTTGCGTAATAGTTTGGTATTAACTATATTTGTTGAAAAGAAGCCACTAAATCTTTGTCTTGTCCCATATCAGCAATATAATGCTTCGTACTAACTATATTTGTTGAAACAAAACACTACTGAAATCTTTGCCTCTTTCCCTTGTCCTACCTTTCTTTCGCCTGAGTCTCGTAGGATCCAGTAATATGCGGTCAATTTCCTAATAGACTGCTAGCTTCCCTGTATAAAGCCTCTGAGATCGGCTGCCTCGGATACTATGCCATTTCCCCGGTATTTATGTCGACTTTGGGTCATTCTCAGTGTATTCCATTCCGCTCGCAACCCAGTTGCCATCATTCCGCCTTCTAACTGGATTTAGTTTCCCTTACTGTTCATCAATCAGACTGTCAGAGAAAGCTAAGTGCGGACGGTGCCCTACTTTACTGAAGGGCAAAAAATCTTGTGTACGATTCTTTTTGTTTTCTTTGTTTCTTTGTATGTTTTTGTTTGTGTGTGTGTGAATGCGCGGGTGATCAAGAGTTCCTCTCCTGTTGAGAAAACTCGAATGTTTTTTCCACTATGTTAGCCATGTAACGTAAGAACATTTCACGTCATTTAAGAGTTTGATTCGATTCTCTTGTTTTACCGAAAAGAAACTGAAAAGTTGCAATGACAATGGCCGGCAACTACAAAGAAAATTAAATGTACACAGTTTGACTTGACTGTTTTATATTTATTGTACTTTACCTGTGTTTGTGTTAATCCACGAGCAAATTGAACATTTTGTTGCACTCTATATCCTAATTAACGTTCAAGACGCGTTTTCATGACGCCATCCCTTCAGTAAACTCAATCAGTGAATCAGTCAAACGACTTCCGGTTGGAAATTTGACGATAGGGCAGCTCAGTCTTTAACTCGACTCTAATCAATGACAATACTGTTCTAAAGATATATTAGTAGCTCGCCTTCACAACGAGAAGTATAACATGAACTTCAATTCCCTTCTTTTTTTTCTCGATGATGGTGTTGACTTAAGTTTGGCGAATACGGTGAACAAAAAGTTGTCAGCAACCCTCGCATTTGATCGTTTTCATTAAACATTTTTGAATAGCCCACTTACATATTTTTTTAATCAATATCTCACTTCTTTTGGTGCTGAGTAGGCGACGATTAATCTTACAATCAAAACATCTTGAGCCAATTTCCGCTCTTGTTACTTTACTCGAGTACTTATTCTGTTCGTTAATTATACAACGTACTGAATGCTAAGCGCGCTGTGATTGGTCAGTGCCTACAAACACACAGATGACGTCACGTTCTGCGCAACATGGCGCCCCGAGATTTTTTTCGAATAGGGCAATAGGCCACTTGGAATAAGAGGTTACGTGACCAATGCTCCCTTTAAAGAACGAGTTGGAATCTTGCTGATGCCAAAAATTGACAGAGCACATAAAAATTATCTTACACCCAAAATTTGAGAGGAAACGTATTTAAGGGAGATATTTTATGGCACTTTGATTTTTCAACAAAGTACTCATTTTAGCACTAGCACTTGAAACGACTTTGCCGATTTGATGAGACTTTTTTTAATTCAGTTAAAATCTTGAGGCAAAACTTGTTACTAGTGAAAGTCACGAAAAGAAGTTGCAGTTTGAAACCAAAAATAGGATAAAAGCACCGTAACCTGTGAAAGTCACGAATGCAAATTGCAAATTGAAGCCTAAAATAGGATCTATTTGGTAAAGTTAATCCGTTTACTACTATTCTTCTTATTTATACCGTCAATTCAAGCTGTGTTTTAAAGGTAATTTGCGAAAGATTTAAACCATGGAACCCTGAAGGTCTGTTCTTAAGGTGGCCGAAACTATTTATTAGCGCGTTGGTTAAGTTTTGAATCACGCTATTCAGTGGTAACCGATTCTATGATTTTTATTATCCTTATAAACTGTGAAGAATAATGGAACATTAAGAAAATGTTATTTATTTTCTTATTTGCGTAAAAACGTTTGAGATCACGGAATATAATTGAAACAGCATTTTCTTCCACAAATGTAAATAATCTCGAAATTTTATGACAAATTTTTCTTTAACTCCAGTAAAAATGCCTCAGAACTCTCTAGTTTTGTAACTGCAAAGTTTGAAGACAATCGTGACCTATGATGACACATTTGCAAAGACTGACGCACAAATAGCGGACGAGCGCTGACGAATTATTGTTCTGGTGTATCTTATCAAGTGCTTTATTAAAAATATGCTGCTTAAGGAGTGAATTAAACAACCTCTTTTAATTTGAATTACTGTGCATTTGTCCCTTCATTCTCGAAACAAAGCCCATTGTACAGTTGTAGTTGTGAAGTTATGAATAATATTCATTATGAAAATCATATATGTGAACTGCGGAGTGAAGAATTAAATGAAATATGATCATTTAACTTTTTTTTTTCTTTCAGCCTTTCTTTTCGCAACTGCAAAAGTTACGTATATAACTACCATGATCATCCTTCATTTAATTCTTCACTCCGCAGTTCACATATATGATTTTCATATATTCATAATTGTATCATCATCCTTTCACAGGTTTATAACAAGCCAATTCAACGACCTGCTCCCAGTTGGCTTGTTAGCTTAACTGGTAGAACGCCGCACCGGTATCGCAGAAGTCAAGGGTTCGAATCCCGTACAAGCTTGAATAATGTTTTTCAGGCTTTCTTTTCGCAACTGTAAAAGTTGCTTATAAAACTGCGATGACCATCCTTCATTAGTTGTAGTTGTGCTTACAAGGGTACCTCAAGGGACGGCGCTCTCTTTTTAGGCCTGCATGGATACATGTGCCGCTGAACAGGGTATGGTATTCAGATTCTTGAGTCTTAGGATATAACAAGATAGAAAATTTCAATATTTAGCATCTTGGACAGGCCGGTTTCTTTTTGGAGCGGAAGACTTAAAAAGAGTACGACGGTTGGCGATGAGCGGTCTACTTATGTGGTACAAAAATTTTTTTCGCCCAAGTAACATCTAACTTCATGATGTTAGTTTTATTCTGTAAGCGACACGAAAGATTCAGGGTCATGAAATAGGGTGTCTTGTCTTAAAACTAGTAGCGAAAAAAAAAGTTTTTTGTCTTTAATTGGGTCAGGGCTCGAAGGTCTATAGACACGGCACTCTTCTACCCAAACTCGCAGTAACTTCGTCACGACAGTAGCGCCGAATAGCCCGAGGGGACCGGCTTTGACGTGCTTACTTGAGACTGAAGGAATCCCTGACAACATGCATCCTGTATAGTTACAATCAATGGCTGTTAAATTGTGCGGAAAATTCGTTTTAATGCCTTACTTTGAATCGCAATCGCAATGTTAGTAATAGCCTATTTCTGTAAACTCTATTTGTCATGACAGTTATTTACCACAGCAAACAAAGTCGTTTTAGTTACTTAGTTCAAATATTATTTATCAAAATAGCCTGGGGAGTGTGCGTGACTAAAATATAGATTTCTTTAATTTAA